TAACCCTGTTACTGAGCCCTTTCAGAAAACTCAAAACAGGCTCTTCTCCAGGCCCCCAGCCCCTCATTCTCCCGGACCTAACTCGTCCTTTCTCCCTCTCTACGTAGCAGAAGAGGAGGGATACGTCCTTGGAGTTTTAAGGACACCAGCTAGGACCTCGCTTTGAATCTGGTAGGTCTAGTTTCTTCGACAGATGTAACTACCCAAGAGTGGGCACCTGCATACCTGCTTTTAGCAGCTGCTGAGCTTACGCGTGTGAGTCAAAGAAACTCACCTTTGGGTCAGCCCCTCAATATCTCAAAATCTACCTCAACCTAATACTGACTATTCCCCTGTCTCATTCCTGTGTTGAAACTCTAGAGGAACTACTGCCCCATCCTTCACACACACAGGAGGGCCACACTACCTCAGGCCACCTGTACCTAGTATACAGAGGGCAGCCCCTTTTTACATGGGGGGGACCCCGCAGAGCAGGCTATGGCATAGTGTCGGATGCCAGGGTGGTGGAGGCACGGGCAATCCCCCCACCACACTACTAACCACCAGGCTGAATTAATAGCCCTCGCCCATGCCTTCCAATTAGCACAGGGACATTCCCTAAACGTTTACACAGACTCTTAAGTATGCTTTTTATAGCCTCCTGTCCCGTGCTGCTATTTTGGAAAGAACGCAAGCTACTTATTACAAAAAGGAGGCTCCATAGCTAACTCAGGTCATATTACGGCCATGGTAAAGGCCTCCCACCTTCCCCAAAGCTATAGGGATTCACTGCGGGTCTCATCAGACAACTCCATTATCTTTGTGTTGGGCCCCAGCCCCTACAGAGTCTCTTCGAGTCACTGGTCAGTCAACAAGTCCATCCTATTTTCCAGTCTAAGTACATCCTGTTTTCTAGGCCTGGCTTCCTCCCCTGGCCTTGACCTTCTGATATCAACATCCAGCAGGAGGAAAACATGCTCTCTTCCACCTGGGGTTTTTCCACTGTGCTGTAAACCTGTATATACGGCTCCTCCCTCCCTACGAGAGAGAGATTTGCAAAAAGATACATATACACATTCTCCTGGCAATAAAGGCAGCACATGCATTCTTAGTACTAACAGCTGGACCTCTGGTCTTTTTCTGATACCTTGGACTTGTTTGTGGTGCAGGTGCCGCAATTGGAGTTCTCACCAAGATCCAGAGAGACTTGGAAAGACTGAGAAAGATCGGCCTGAAAGAACTCAGGAGAAGAGAGACTAAGAAAAGATTTGAAAACAGGTACTTCAACTTCTGACAGTAAAATTGAATGGTCAAATCTCCAGGCTTTTGCCTGAGAGATCACCTTATAAGGAGAAGGTGTATTGAATTAATCTCCAGCCTTTCGCCTGATCCACTGAGGTCAGGAACGTAAAGGGGAACTGAGAGATCACCCTCAAAGGCTGGCCAGCAAGTAAGGCTATTAGGGTGTATTGGAAAGGGGCACCAAGTTAGGGGTACCAGATTAAATCTCCAGGCTTTCACCCTTCACCAAGGTCTGGAACCTGAGAGATCGCCCTCATTTGGAGGATGGATTGTATAAATCTTCAGGCTTTTGCCTGAGGGATCATCCTCTGTTGGAGGATGGATTGAAAATGGGTGAATTGAAAATTGGTAACAGTAAATGACGTACTGGTATTAAGGAAAAGATAAAGTATATGGAATGAAAAATACATGAAGAGTCTGGATACTGTGTGCTGTTGTATTGTCTTTAAACTGTTTAATTGCTAAGAAAGGAACAAAAACTGCTAGACATTTGGTTATCAATGCTGAATTAATCCAACTTATATTTTGAAAATGCTTTGACTTCTAAATGTAAATATAAGGACAGGTTACTTGGGAAAAGAATTTCTGCTTTTGTTTCCACAGAACATAAAAAGCCGTGGGTTCCTTCCAGGCTAGTATGGTTTGATGAAGCAAGACCACCTGAAGCAGTGGCCCAGGTGATCCAACATCATCTAAAACAACTGAGATGATACAGCCTTACAGACCACAGAAACAAGGAATTCAACAGATTTTTTGTCATGATCCCCCTGGTATTTCAGCACCCCTTAACAGCAGGAAGTAGTTTGGAAAGAATGACACCCACATTCCCAAATGTTTAATGTTTGTTTGCATTTATACAGGGTTGGTTATTGATACAAATTTAAGGTCAATTTTGACACCTGAGATAGGTGCTAATTTATATATAAAAAAAGGGGGGAGATGTTGGACCCCAGCCCCTACGGGGTCTCTGTAAGTCACAGACACATTCTCTTAGTACAAAGAGCAGGACGTCTGTTATTTTCCTGATGCCTTGGAATTGCTTGTGGTGCAGGCACCACATCTCTAAGGGCAACAACAAGGCCCATGAAGCAGCTGGGGCTGCAGCCTTCTGAGACCCAGATCCACCTCACCCACCACAGGGAGTTCATACACTACAACCCACATCCTCATAGTCGCCCTCCTGACACTCAATCCTGTCCTATCTGCACCAACTCTTTCATCTAAAAGGCTCAGTTTGTCAAGGCTCACCTCCAGCCCACTCCTGAGGACTTACATTTCTTAAAAATCTATCACGGCCCTTGTAAACCCTGTCAGACCCTAACTCCGGGTATCATAGCCCCCCCTTTTCCCACCCACAAGAGCAGGGGCTCTCTGCCAGGGACTGACTGGCAACTTGACTTTGCCCACATGCCCACAATCAGACAAGTTAAATATATCTCCTGGCATTAATTGATACCTTCTCGGGTTGGGTAGAAGCGTTTCTAACCACTAACAAAAAAGGCCCAGACAGTCTCTGACACCCTTCTCTAAAGGGAAATTATTCCCTGGTTTGGGATTCCAGCTTCTCTCTTCAGTCAGACAATGGTCCTGAGTTCACCTCTCAGATCTCCCAAACTCTATCTAAAGCTCCCTTGGCGTTTTTCATATTCCTTCTCGCCCACAGTCCTCAGGAAGGTAGGAGCAAACTAATCGTTCTTTTAAAAAACGTTGTTAAAGTGACACGATCTTCACCTCGACTGGGTAAAGCTCTTGTCTTGGGCTCTCTCCAGAGGCTCAGGGGGCTCTTGCTCGCTCTCTCCAGAGGCTCAGGGGGGCTCGCTCGCTCTCTCCAGAGGCTCAGGGGGCGCTCGCTCGCTCTCTCCAGAGGCTCAGGGGGGCTCGCTCCCTCTCTCTCCAGAGGCTCAGGGGGGCTCGCTCTCTCCAGAGGCTCAGGGGGCTCGCTCTCCAGGCGACCCCTTTTCATCTCACCCCTTGATCTCATGTAGGGACTGCCAGCTCTAATACCTGGCCTCTCATCTAAACTCTCACCTCTCCCCGACCACCTGCTTACACCCTTACTTCATCTCCATTCCCCTCCTATGGGACCTTCACTGACCACTCCCTACCTCAGAAGCCATGTGCCAACACCCCTGTATTTCCCCCATTTAATATCGGGGACCAGGTCTTTCTCCAGACCAACGCCCCTCTCTCGTCCCTGTCCCCTAAACGGCAGGGCCCCTTCTAGGTGATTCTTGTCATTCCAACAGCTGCTAAGCTTGAGGGGCCTTCCCCACTGGATTCGCTTATCCCACCTCAAGCCCTTTATTCCTTCTTCCACCTGAAACTCACCCCTCATATACAGTTACTGCTTAACTTTGGAGGTCTCCAGGATCCACTACTTTCTGCTTTGCCTCTTACTTAAGGCTCCGAAGTCTACAACCACACCCTGCCAGGCTGGAAACCCCAACACACTTTTCCTTCCAGTCTTCAGGCTAGTCCATCTGCTGGGAGCTCTGTGGTATGGATGCTGGGAACTGAGCTGGGGTCCTCTGCAAGATCAATGAGACCACTTAACTACTGAACATCTCTCCAGCCCTCTAAAGTTCAGTATTTCTGAGACATGGCACCATAAGTAGGTATTTCGCTTTGGGGTATTGACTACTAGAAAAAAAGAACACTCCAGCCAGGGTGGGATTTTTATAGTCCTTTTATAGTCCAGTTTTTAAATTTAATACTATTTTAATATGTAATAAGAGGTAATATGGCAGTAAATACTTAAACACTAAAATACTTTGTTACATCTTCCTAAGACTATACTTTCAGGGATCATTTCTATAGTTTGTTACATCTTCCTATGATACTATGTGGCCATTGGAGAAAAGGCCAGACAGGAGGATTGAAAGACCAAGAGGATACTTGAACCTCCATCACCATCAAGGAGCACACCGACCTGACCCTTTGGCTTCTCTATAGTGATTACTGGCCATGTGGTGAGGAAGACTGCAATGATTACCCTCTTTCACACATACAAGTGCACCCTCATGTTGGGTCCCAGTCCCCACGGATTTCTGTGCTTTGCTTTGTCAGCTGACAGCCACAGGTGTATCCTGCTCTCTAGTCCTGGCTTACAGCCCCAGCCTTGCCTGCCTGAAATCAGTGTCTAGCATGAGGGAAACACGAGCTCTTACACCTGGGTTTTTTCCACTGTGCTATAAGCTTGTATATAAGCCTGCTTCCCTCTTTACAGAGAGATCTCTTAACACTAGCAATAAAGACACACATACACACGCCATTTCTCTGGCAATAAAGGCCTCGGACACACCCCTAGCACAAACAGTTGGACGTCTTTTTCTTTCATTCCCTGATACCTTGGACTTGCTCATCTGCCACACCCTCAGGCTCAACTCCTTTCTCTTTTCTTTAACCCAGAATCCATACAGAGACTCCTACAAGCCCAGTCCAAGGAAGTCCTCCAAATCCAGCTCCCAGTAACATTTCCCCCGAGATGAAGCTCTGTGTATGATCTGCAAGAAGGCACATAGCACCCTATAGGATAGACAGATGGATGTCGATGGTGAGGCCAGAAGCTGACTCTTTCTCGTGACATACACAGGGTTCATCTGGTAATGGAGTTTGACAAGATTGTGGCTTGGAAGGACTGGAGCCTTTGTCAGCGCAGTGTTGGATAGGGCACAGAGTTCTGGTTTCGTAGCCTGGGGGGCATGCTCAGCTGCATCGACTCACTTCCTTCTGAACATGCCATCCAAACCCTGGAGCAGTACCAAGGGTGGTTTCCGGGACACTGCTCTCAGCTGCTGATACATTTCTCTTAGTTCATTGCTCTGTAGGGCCATCTCCGGCCTTAGTTTCCCCGAGTTTCTCCACAACACATTGTCCTTCACTTGACATACACAGATATGTTTTTCTCCCTCTCTTCACAGGGGACTGGGTACCATGCCCTATACTCTTTCCTGATCATTTCTTTCTGCTGACTCAAATATTCCAACCAGAGTTGTCATTCTCTCTGTCTCTAGATTCTCCCGATTCTCTTGGATCTTCCCCCATTTAAGAGGCCATTTGTTTTAGAAGTCTCTCCATGAAGTAACTTAAAGGCTGGGTCCTGGAACAGATTTTAAGCCACCAGCAGGGATCTGGACAAGATGTGAGAGCCTGCTGATATCTAGGGTCATCAAATACAGGATCATATACTCCAGTAGGATCTCATCAAAACCTGCTTTCAAATCTCCCAGTGCACAGAGAGTGTCCAACAGACACACAATACCCAAGAAATTTTGGGACACTTTTGTCTGGTTCGAGAACGAACGTGTGAGGTACAGAAAGAGGAGACCCCGCCGTGTGCTCCAAGCAGTGCCAGACATAAGAGGAAGCTCTACGGCCCATTCTGGTTCAACCAGTTCCAAAGTGATTCAGCTGCCCAACCCTGATCAGCCTGAAGGAAATGAAGCACCAAGTGACCCAGGCCTAGTCAGAGGTGCAGCCTCACAAAGCTGCACACTTCCCACGGCAGGCGCAGCCCAAGAACCAGAGCATGCTCAAAAGACTGGTGCATCTGCTGAGGAGCTTTGGCACTGAGTGCTTGAGGACTTTTTCCGATGCAAGGAGACTGACTGGTTAAAATTCAATTACAACAAGAGTTCACACAAGTCCCTCTGACACTTGAAACTAAGAATCCTTGGTCAAGGCCAGGGGATTATGATTGCAAAGAGGTGGCCTTTCGGACAATGTCCACGGAATTTCTCAATGTGTGACAGAGGTAAATCCTGTTCTCCACACAGAAATATCCTCTTGTCTCCTTGTGGGTCACACACTTCTGCTTCCTCAGAGAGCTCAGGGACCTTCGTGAGGCTGGCTTGTCTGGCAGTGGACACCAGGCTTTTCAGGACAGCGCTGGCTCTTAAGTCCTTCTGTCAAGGATGGTTCCCTACACATAGGGCAGTGGACTGGAAATTGGATTTCTTCACGGAAAAGGTGGAGGCAGGCCCGACAGAGGCTGTAGCCACAGCTTATGGGTAACTGGGTCTGTAGTAGCTCGTGAAGAAGTGGGCGTGTTCTTTCTGGAAGGCTTGGATGATGCCTAACTCCATTTTCCAAGAATTGTGTCTGGCCTCAGTGTTTAGTGGGGACACGGCAGTGTCAGCTCAGCTCTGGGGTCCAATCCTTAAGGGCTGGAGGGGATAAGATCTAGCAGTTTCTAGAGGCAGAGGGTAAGGAAACTCACTGTGTGGTCTAGTGAAGGAAACTGAGGGTTTTAGTCTTATTGCTCATAGTCTACTAAGAAAACAACATGCTCCTGTAGGCTCAGCACCCACAAGCCCGCAGACAAGGACACTCTGCTGTCCGATAGACTCAGCTATTGCCAGTTTCAACCTCAAGTTTGTTGATTTGGCTCAACTTCGGTAGGTTGGTCTTCAAGTGAATCACAAGCCAAGATTAGTTCAAAGTGGCCTGAGTTGAGCCTCCCGACTTTTTTTTTAAATTTATGTGTATTGGTGTGAGGGTATCAAGATTTGAGCTACAGATAGTTGTGAGCTACCATGTGGGTGCTGGAATTTGAACCCGGGTCCCTCTGCAAGAGCAGCCAGTAGTGCTCTGAACCACTGAGCCATCTTCTCCAGCCCCTCAACCCTGACTTTTGCTAGTTGCTGGAATGCTGATTAGCTTGTCACTAGCCCACATTCATTGGAAACCCAGCCTATATCACTCATCTGAGTTGCTACTTCTTGAACTTCCAAGAGCTCCTGTAATTGTTCCATATCATGTGATAAACTCACTTAGCAGTACCTACGGTCTATGGGCTGTGGTCATGATGACCATGGGGGCATTGACAGGGATAAAAGCCATTTCAAAAGGGATGCTGGTGACACTCAGATGGGATGCTTGGTCCTTAGAGGAAGTGGCAGGAGAGTAAGATCACACACGTGAAGGGTGGCTCCCCCAAGCTCCCCAGGACGACATGGGTTCCAAGCCCAGACACCTCCAGCCTAGATCCAGGTAAAATTAAAGATGCCTTTTTTGGGGGGAGGCATTGCTGCTGCACACACTGTTTATAGCTCCATGCTAAGAGGATACTGTCAAGAAATTAGTCTGGGTTATTGTATTATGTATGTAAGCTTGGTGGTTTAGAGGGTGAGTGGTTGGGGGAAGGGCTCTGAATCTGCTTGCAGGAGTGTGTCTGGGTATGTTAAACTCTTCTGCTACATGTACTTTCAGTGGTAATATACTTCCCTAAGATCTGTGAGGATTACAGAGGTTTCATATAATACACATCTCACATATAGGCCTAGAAGAATGATGTTATATTAGTAAAAGTTGTTTCCAAATGGGGGTAAGTTTTGCAACACCCCTAACCACCTGCTGTGGAACACTTGGGGAATGTCTACAGGCATTTTGGCTTCTACAAGTGGAGGGTCAAATGAAGAGTCGTTGCATCTGGGTAGACACAGAACAGCCGTGGCAGCACTCAAAGGGCTGTCTAACCTAAAATGGAAATGCTGAGGTTCGTAAAAGTTCACTTAAAAAAACAAAATAAGCTTTGTGGGGGTGTGTCTCCTAGGCGACTCCAAATCCCATCATCAGCCTGACAGTGAAAAACCAGTCACACATCACCAATGCCCTTTCCAGCTCCAAACTTCAATTCTTTCACAAGTCTGCTATACACTTTTCACCTTCTGGAACTTCGCCCCACGGAAGCTGGGATTCTCTTTCCCCTCTTCAACCAAAGTCTTCCCTGTCTGATCACATGCCACCCTGCCCTGAATGGAAGTTACCGGGTGAATGTCTTTCTCCCCAACCTGCCTGGGAGCTGTTTCAAGGTACACACTTTTTATATTCCTTGTAGCAAAATGGAACAAAAATATGAGGAAACGGCTATCCTGGTTCCCACAGAAACACTGCCTCCCCACACCACCACCCATTGCAAGCCAAACACTAGCCAAGTGCAGCAGCCAGGGGAACCTGCGCCCAAACACATCCCCCTGCTCCAGACATCTCCACGGTACTATGCGTCTTTGACAAAGGCATTTTTTTCTTCCTTCTATTCTTTGAGAAAGCATCCCAGACACGTAGGATAAAGGTCACCCCCATCAGGCAGAACAGTAACCAGCTGAATTTATGTTTCTGCCCCCAAGCTCCATAAAAGCCAGAGTGCAAATAGGGCGGGGCCTCGGAAATAAGAGGAGATTGTGGCTTGAATGCCAGCAGTGTGGGGCACTGGGCCCCCATCCCTCCCCATGCAGCCAAAGGGCACTGTCCAGTCTCTATGGGACTCTTGTTAAGGTCCGGAGGGGTGTCGTGTAAAGTGTCAAAGGAAAGTGCACATTTCCACGGAAGGCCCGGCGGCCAGAGGGAAATCGGGCCATTCTGTTGGGCTTCTGACTGCTCTTCGGCAAAACCCAACATGTGTGCCCTATTTCAGTCCGGCGGGTATCTGCATGGTGTCCCTGGGTGGAAAGCATACGGTGTGCAGCTGGATCCCGAGTAACGGTTCCGGCCTTCGCCCATGTTTGCTAGGCAGGGCTGCCTTCTGCTCCCAGTTTCCCAGTCCCGCAACAGAAAACTGCACATTCATCTCAAGTCCGGAGAGTTGAGGGCGTGGCCACCACATTCCTTCTTCCCTTTCTGGCATTGGGCATTGTCTAAGCAATGAGGGAAAGAAAAGCTTTGACTGCGTTTTTTTTTTTCTATGATGCAAAAATTCATGGCTGAGGTCAACGCCAAATCTAGTGCCTGGTGCACCCAGTAGGTGCCATTTTCAAAGTTTTTTGTTGTTGTTTCGAAAACTCCGAGAACACAGATCGGGTGGATGTAGGTTTGAAGCTTCAGAGAAAAGCCTGTGCGACTTCAACAGTTAAGCGATTCATGGCCGACACCGCTTTTCATGTTCACCCCAGTCACTCCCTTCTCCCCCATCTGCAGGATTTTGAGGCAAATCAGGGAGGCAAGTTCCTCTGAACATTTCTGTATGAGACCCTAACGGTGGTCTCTCTTCAAACATAGGCATGGTGTTATAATTACACCTGAAGACTGATTGATGTCATTAATTCAAACTTTAAATAGCTTCATAAGTGTTGTGATTTAGAAAAGTTTGCTTATTTGGTTCCAAGACCCAAGACAAGGTCAACAACACATTGTGACTAGCTAGGTCTCCTTATTCGCTCTCATTTTCTTTCTCCTCCTTTCCACTCCCCCCCCAAGCTCCCTCCCCTCCCCAGTCAGGGTTTACTCTGTATAAGAAGTCCTGGCACTCGATTTGTAGACTAGGCTGGCCTCGAATTCCCTTGGAAGGCAGAGGCAGGCGGATCTCAAGTGTTGGGATTTTAAAGGCTTGCACCACCACTGCCCAGCCCCTCCCCTCCGTTTCTGCGGTATCATTTTAAATATTCTTTGTCTTCTACTTTTCCTATAAGTTGCCAGTCAGATCTTACTGTATGCCTTGTACATTCCGGGGACAGTTGTAAAGCTGCCTGGAACTGGAGTTACAGCTGTTGCAGACAGCAGCCATGTGGGTCCTCTGGAACAGCAGCCAGTGTGCTCCTAACTGCTGAGCCTTCTTTCCAGCCCCAGACTAGGTGGATCTTAACGCATCCCCCCCTGTGATTTCTGGAAATACTGCTTTAGTCCTGGTGATGCAATCCCTCTGTTATAGCATCACACAAAAGAGGCCAAGTGTTGGGTGTTATCAACTCTCAAGGATCAACCTCTTCCTACATCAACCGACTCAAAGTTGAAAATAATCAATTTTCTAATTGGACCTTGATTTTTTGTTGTTGTTGTAATCCTTATATGAAGGAGAGAAAAGTCCCACCTATGTTTGGTCACCCACTGCAATTTTTCCTCTAGGAGAGGTAGAACACTTGTATTGTTTCCTTTTAAATTAGTAGCAAAAAAAAAATAAAGTGATTAAGTTATCTTTGAGAATTGTCACTGTCTCAAGACAAACCTTTTTCTTCTACCACAGTGAATGTCAATATTAACAGATGGGCCACCCCTCGGCCAGTGAGAACACTGTTCTGTCTAGTCCCATTCTCATAATCTAGTGTGGCAATGTTTCAGGGATTTCTCGTACATTCCCCTGCTCTAAATGTGGAATCACATTAATCCTGGAGTCCCTTAAGGCCGTTAGACTTGCAATGTTTTCTCAGCCTGTGTGTGGAGACCCCCAAAGACAAGTCTCCATTTTCAAAAATATTTACGTTATGATTCATAATAGTAGCAAAATTAGTTATGAACAAGCAATGAAATTTTATGGTTGGAGGTCACCACAACATGAGGAACGGTGTTAAAGGGTCATAGCCTCAGAAGGCAGAGAATCTCTCAACTGTTAGAAAAGGGGTATTCTAGAACTCACGTGGACCCTGGCTGTGCTACATTATTTCTAGGTCTTTTCTGTAGGCTGAACTAGGATACATGTTTACTTCTCACAATAAAAACCTAGGGAGTTCATTCTGATGACTTTGCTGAGCAGTTCCAATCCCATTTTCTCCTTTCTCTTGTAGCAGAGAATACTGGTGTTTAAAGATACATTTTCACAGAATTGTGCAGTTGTTCTAAACACACGCACACCATGTGTCCTTGCAGAACGAGGTACCAACATTTCACGCTTTAACATAATGTGTGCAAAGTGGGTTTTATTTAGTTTTTTTCCCCCTCTGGTTCCCCCGCCACCCTTGGGTCTGAACCCAGAACCTTAGTCTTCTATCACTCATCTCTTCCTGTCTGGAATGGAATCTAAGTTTTCCAGGCAGCACTTGAACTTGCCACCCCTCCTGTCTCAGTCCCCCAGTAGCTGGAGTTACAGGCTTGGACCAGCAGACCAAGCCTCAATTCTTGCAGTCCCTGTTATCTGTATGATATGTCAGCTGGGAGCTGCATGGGCGTTCAAGTCCCCTGAAATAGCACCTCTCAGTGGGTAATAAGATGTAGACTCAATTGTTTCTTTATATTTTTCAGACACACGCAAATGAAGTACTCATTTTTAAAGATTCAGAGAGAACAGGTGTGGAGATTAGATCTTGAGAACCTATGGAAAAACTGCACTTTGATCTTAACGGTTCAGGTGGTCTCTGAAAGCCTTAATCTTTTTTTGTTGTTTTTCGAGACAGGGAACCTGTCTCTGCCTCCCGAGTGCTGCCACCACTGCCCACCTCCCTTAAATATCTTTAAAGCAAGTTTTGGTTACATGAAACATGTACATGACTCCAAAGTCATATCTACACCAAATGCAGTTATAAGTAGTCTAAATATTTGTTCTTACCTCACTAACCCATCTTTCTTATATAGGCAATCATTTTTAATTTTGCCATTCATATTTCTGATCTTTTTAAAATACTAAACATGCAGTTTCCCTCCCCTATGTGCACACACTTTTATAATTGGCCGATTTTCTTCATATCCTAAGAGGTTGGTCCATATCGATACACAGATGTTTCCCATTTCTTAGCCAGTGTGTGTACAATCACTCAGGCAGTTCAATTAACGAGAACCACTTAAAACTCTTTGCACCGGTTAGATAGATTGTGAAATTCCTGTGTTGTGTTGTTAGGACAACTGAATTTGAATTGGTCTCTTTCTTGGCAAAAAATAAAGACTCGTGGCTAGTCTCAAAATTATGTAATTTGGGTCCAACTGCTGGAAAATGGGCTTGTTGGCTACAGAACGCTTACCCTCTTAATCATGACCTTAAGGGAAACTTACAACAGTGTTCCCCCACTCAGACACACAATTGTTAAAAATCAGAAAGTCCGCCCTGGTTAGTGCTGCCTTCCAACCCCGCACCTTTTCTTCAGCCGTCGCCGTTAACCAGCCCCTCTGAAGCAGAAGGACAACATGCATCCCAAGCTGGCGTCCCATCCCCTTTAGGCGTCTGGCCCGTTTAAAATCGTTCTCCTGCTTGGCCTTTCGCCACACCTTGATATGTTTGGCTATTACAACTTTTTGTTGTGATGTGCGTCCCTCGATTGTGTTTATAGTAAGTTTGGTTTTTTTTTAAAAGACGACGAGTAGCGTGAATTCTGACCGCGTTAATATTAGTATTAGAAACCAGGACCTTGGTGGAGAGGGTGGAGCAGGATGAAGGGAAAGAAACATCTAGAAGAGAGGGCCCTTCGTCTTTGTAAGTGCGCTTATCTTACTGTACACAACGGAAGGGGACCTCTTTGACGGAGAGTGCCGGTCTGGGGGGGCAGAAAGGAAGCCGATTGATTCTCCAGGAAACCCTGTGAGATAAGAAATCTGGGACTCTTGAGGGTTTAGGCTTCCGTGTCCCTTTTTAAACTCTCTCCTCTCAAAGCTTCCTCAGTCCCAAGTCCAGATCACTTTGGGTTAGGGGAGGGGGCGGGATCCCTCACAGTTGAACTTTGGAAATGGTCAAGACACAGCAGCTTAAAGAAACTGGGCTGCCGGGATCGGATGTGGAGTCGCCAGCAAGCATTGGGTGGGCAGCAGCTGTGTCCTCGGGATTTCGCGTGCCTTTCTCCTGCCACTGGTCTCCCCGACTCCCATCCCAGCTACAGGAACCCCCCCTTTCCCCATTGTCACTGTTTCCCGATGGGAGCTGGGTGCTTTACCAGAGGCAGGCAAGGGGAATGGTCTCCAGACTAGTGTCGGCATTCCCAGGCTCTTAGAGGCCTGCCTCCTTCAGTGTTCTGGGGCACAGGTGTTTTAGGGAGGACTCAGGAGCAGCCTGAGCACCTGGAAGGAGTCTAGTTGAGGCTACTTTTCAATTTGTCCCTGAGCTCCTTCATTTCAACGGAATTTAAGGGGAGAAAGGCAGACATGAAGTTGAAGAATGTGGGATTGATTCCCTTTCAAGCCAGGATGCAGCAGGAGACAAGGGAGGAGCTTAGTGTAGCCAGGCGGCCTTCTCAGGAGCCCTTAGGGCATAACCGAGGCAGCCCTGAGCCCACCTGGAAGGCCCGGGAGTTTGGGGAGGAGTAGCAACCTAACTCCATGCCCTCTGTTCAGCCTGGGTGTTTGTACAACTTGACACAGGTAGCACGAAGTTGCTTTACCCCGAGGGAGCAATGCTGGTCTAGGGTGCGGAATACGTGGCTATTTAGTGGCGTAAAAAGCCCCAAACTGACCGACCGAGGTCTTTTGTAACTGGACCGGTGCCTCAGTCCACTCAAGGAAAAAAATAGAAGAGAATTCCCTTCAGACAACAGCTTTGTGATAACCTGAGGTCCAAAGGTCAGTATTTGCTCACAGGGACTCTGCTTTCCGCACACTTTTATCCTAGGGTCTTTTAAAGCTTCTGTCTCGTGCGTGGGTAGTTTACAAGCAATGCCAGTCAAAGGTCCCTAAATGGGAGCCCCCCCCCCGCCCCTTGCTCGTGCTGAGCCCCTAACCCCTCTCTGACTGGTACCCAGGTTAAGGGCTACTCTCGAAGGTATGCAGAGGACAGAGACAGACTGGAAGTTTGAAAGCCCTTCTTGCCTTGAGATGAGCCTTTGAAAGGTGATCCTTCTGAGACCCCGTGGGTTTCAGAGGAAGCGCTCAGCTTTGAGGGGAGATGACTCTCTCTCCCCTGGTCCCACAAGTGAACATTTGTCACTCACCCCGCACCCCTTTCAACTGGAGCGCTGCCTTCTGCTTGGGGGGGGGAAGGGGGGCAGGAAATCGGGTCATTTGGTGAAGAGGAACCCTTAAGGTGGAATCGGGGCTGCAAGGAGAAGGGCCTTGCCTGCGTTCTTTAGGAAACTGCGCCACCTTGGAGCCAGCTCTCTTTGACTTTCTGAGGGATGCTATCCAAAGAAGAGAGGTGGTGGCCGGTCTGAAGAGGGACACAAGCTGTAACTTCAGACAACTTTTACTAGCATGGGGGGTTTCTTCCTTTCTTCTGTTTACTGAGCCCCAGTACCTGGCAACCCAAAGGCCAACGCTAAAGCTTATCAGATCTGCTTCAGATTATTATAGTCTTATCTAAAGGAAATCTTGCCCAGAAAGAGAAGGGGAGGGGAGGGAAGTTGGGAAGAGAGTGCAAGAGGTTTGTGATCCTGAGGAAGGGACATAGCTCACTGGCCAGTCAGTGGAGCCTTAACCTTTGAATCCCGAGAGAGAGAGAGAGAGAGAGAGAGAGAGAGAGAGAGAGAGAGAGAGAGAGAGAGAGAGAGAGAGAGAGAGAGAGAGATCTTCACTGCCCCCCTCCCCTCAAAAGGTTGGACTAGTGCCTCCTGAGTAACTGACACCACCCTAGGGGCAGGGAGAGAATGGAGCGGAGCATCAGAGAGTTTTATTCTCTTAGGGTTAAGAGGCATCACGAGTGAAGCCGGCTCATGAGTTCAAGCTGTGTACAATCAACAAGGACAAGACATGGTTAAAAAAACGTGTTTTTCCACAGAGGATTATAAAGGGTAGCTTAAATCTTTAATTAATAACAGCGGAGAGCAATAATGAGCGATCTGATCAAGTAAAGTCACTCCTATCCGCTCCACCTGAGGGGAGCACGAGACCACGCTCCAAGGACAATTCTGTGGTTTGAAGAAACTGAGGCCGCCAGAATTCTTGTTCTCTTGGAGTGTTCTCACAAGCGGGGCGAGGTCTCATCACGTGACTCCACTCCTGGGCTGTGTTAGGACAAATAACAACACTCAATGTTGAAGAAAAAAAAAATTCCCTACCAAACATAGCAAAAGCAGGAGATGCTTAAAAGGGGGTTAGTTGTGTCTTCGAATGTATCAGACCAATCACAAAGCGGAGTAAAGATCACAGAGAGGGCTAAACAATCGGCCCAGAGCTGGGAGCAACCGTGTGGGCTTCACCGAGGAGGTGAGCATTGAATAACACCAAAATATGGGCCGGACGGTGGTGGTGCACACCTTTAATCCCAGCACTCAGGAGGCAGAGGCAGGCGGATCTCTGTGAGTTCAAGGCCAGCCTAGTCTACAAGAGCTAGTTCCAGGACAGGCTCCAAAGCCACAGAGAAACCCTGTCTCAAATCCCCCCACACACACAAAAGTGTTGGTCTCAGTGGACAAAGTTCTTGCCGTGCAAACACAAGCACTAGAGCTTGGATCCCTAGACTTCGCATGAAGCCAGATGCGGAAAGTATATAACTCTAATGCCAACAAACACGTAACGCACCTGCGTGTATGGATCTGAAGATGAACTTCAGTCCTACGGTGTCCTTGCCGAGGCTGCCCCAGGGGACCAGCGGAGGCCATTCATTAATTCACTTGGGCAACGAGTTGGTTCTCTTTGACCTTTCAAAGCACATGTGCAACCTCTGCCTCCTGGCTGGCCTGTGGAAGGTCCTGTGCACTCAGGGTGTCACAAACACAGGATTGTTTGCTCTCTCTCTGGCCCGGGATAGCTGGGTTGGGAACCAAACTGGCCTTACATGCTCAGGTTTTTCTCACTGTATTTCAAGGACAGCTGACTTCAGGCCTTCCAAACAGGCTGGTGGCAACACTAGAGTCATGTAGAGGGGAGCAAAAGGCAGTGTCCCCAGCAGGACGTGCTGCCTCCAGGACAGTTTCCCAAGTCTTTGAAGCATCTACGGAGGGATTGCCAGAGCATCCCAGAGGGAAGAGGTTGGAGCAGCATCAGCTGGGAAGTTGTGCGTGGATACCATGAAAGTTTCCTAAGAACCTTCCCTGGCCTTGCTGATGTCTCAGCACCCATTGGAGTTGTTCCTATAATTCTTGAGCGCACCATGAATTTTAGCAAATCTTCTTGTTGACGAATCAGTTCAACACCGATTCGCACTCACTCTTCGATCTGATCTTAGCTTGAGTGTCACTGGTGGCTTTCCCTGTCTGTCTCAGTCCCACTGGGCCCGTGTCTCCCCTGTAGTGTCCAGTCCCCCATTTTAGCAGCCATGAAAGGCTAACATGTGCTGGCATGACCTTGCCGCTCCTAAGAGTTCAGATGCCCTCCTCGTGGCAAGAAGCCAATCAGAAGTTAGCTGGCGGGGCTGTGCTTTACGGCTCTGGGTGTTCTTTACAGACAGTGCACAACAGTGATGTGCAGAGCATAGCAACCGCCCTGGGAGGGCCTATGGGCCATAGCAACCAGTTGACCAATCAACACAGGGCGGGTCACCCAAACCTGGAAGAGCACCAATCCTGAGACTGTTTCATACCCCTAGACACTCCCCTTAAGCTACCCTTTAAGACCCCTGCCTCAAGGTTGCTTGGGGTCTTTTCTCCAGCCATGCGCCATGGTGGCGTGGTGGAGGGCCCGAGCTAATGGGGTTAGCTCGTTAAACATCTACAATAAAAGACTCTTTGCTTTTGCATCGAAATGGGCCTCTTGGTGATTTGGGGTTCAGAGTTTGGGCACAACACTCCGTTCCCACTACAGCTGCGGTCTATACTTCCCTTCCTATCCAGCCCACCGTGTCAACTCTATCTAGAATTGCTTGTGACCAAGTTTCACCTGGAGAGGAGGGAGGGATAGAAAAACAGGGTTTCTCAGAGCAGGGAATGGCCGCAAAGAACGGTGCAAATGATGAGCTTATTTCTTGTGAAATACAAGGGAAAACTGCATTTTGTACATTCCTTTGGAAGTTCCTAGTAGGTTCAGGCCACAAAACAAGATTCTAGCCAATACACCAGGGAGAAAATTATGCATATTACTGCGAGGCCTGTCCATTAAAATGATTACAATTCTCCATGTTCTCACTTTCCATTCTGAGGTGACCTCTGAATCCAGTAGTCAACAATATGACAGGAATGCAGATCCAAGTCACCACTTGAAGGAGACCTTCCCTGCCCCCCAGGATGCTTGTGGCCTGGGGGTTATGCCCTCTAGCCCAGACTCGGTTTCCTAAACTGTGACAGACTGCTTAAAGGTGGGGACCTCTAAGTTTACTGTTGAAGAAAACAAACAGTAAGTCAGGCAAAGTGGCTATTTTAAATGATCTCTTTCCCTCAGAGGAAAGATGATGATGATAATAATAATAGCAGCAGCCAGCCTACCAGGCAATGCCATTTTCTGGTTGTATTCACTAAGGTACAGTTTACAGAAGCTTCTAGGAAAATTCACAATTTGGAAAGTTTAGACAAGACTGAAGGAGGGGATGGGTCTACACTCTCATCATGACAATGGATCATCTAGAGCTGAAGATGGTTCAGTGGCTAAGAGCACTGGCTGCTCTTCCCAGAGGACTGAGTTCAGCTCCCAGGCAGCTCACAACCGCCTGTAACTCCAGCTCTTGGGGGGGCGGGTGTCCAGTGCCCTCTTGTGGCTTCGAGGGTACCCACACACAAGCCCACACACACACACATACACATATACACATGCCCACACAGGCACTCGTGCATGTGTACACAAACACACATACATCCCCCCCCACACACACACCACACACCACCCTGCAGGGGTGGGGACACTTTCTGCAAGCAAAGTGGCGGCTCCCTGCTGAACCTGCACTTCTGGGTTACAGACATCAATTTCAATCAGGCAGATGTTTGTTTGGAGGCAATCATACTGGGCTTAAATCCTGCCTGTGTCATACAGAATCTACGGTCCTGGGAAAGTTTACTTATCTGAGCTTTAATTTTGGGCTCAAAGCGGGGACAACTTGCTTATGATTGTGACAATGGAAGATCACATCGGTTAGCAATGAGCACAGTCCCTGATGGCCCAGTAAGGCCGAGCAGAGGGTGGGGCAGTGGGGGCCGGACACGGACGGAGGCCATGCAAAGCTGTCCACGCTCACAGGCCTGGGTTGTGCCTTGCGCTGACTCTTACTCTCCTGCTTCCCAGCGTGGAAGTGGTGTTGGGGGAGGGGGGGACTAGCTGCCTGCTGAAAGTTGGAAGGTTAATGGAAGGCTAAGACAGGAGGCTGGAGAGACTCCCTTAGGGAGCAAGCTAAAAGTTGGGAACAGGATAAAAAAAAGCTAACACATTGAAAACTAGAATATTCAGAAGCAGGGCTGGAGAAGATGGCTCGGGAGGTTAGGCAGAGGGCCTGCCTGGATCCAGCGCCCAGTACCCACGGGGCAGCTCGCAAAACTGCCTAAATTCCAGTTCCAGGGATCCATTGCTCTCTTCCGGCCTCTGTTGGAACTGCATGCACACGGTGCCAAGACATACATGCAGGCGCTCACACATGCACACACACAAACACAAAAATAAAAATCTCTTTTAAAAACCCAGTAAAGCAGAAATGGAATTCAGGGTGAGAGTGCTTGTGGTCCTAAAGCTACTGTGGAAGACTCTAAGGACGGCCTCTGCGCAAGGGGGTGGGTGCATGGATGACCCGGATGCAGGGGGCTGCCTATCCCTGAGAGGCGTGGTGTAGAGCTTCAGGGATGTGGCTGACCAGTGCAGGAAGCTGCCCATGTAGGCTCCGTAACACTTCCCAGAATCCTCCCAAATCCACTTCAGCACACGCAGCTCAGTCATCAGCCAGACATCTGCCTCCTGTGAAAAGTAGTAGCAGCGATGCAGGCTCCCAATGCCATGCCTAAATTTAGGGGTAAGAGGACCTAGAGTTGGGGCTGTTCAAGCTTATATCCCCCTCCCGTAGTTCCCTCAACCTCCTTACTTACTTAGAAAGGGGACCACCGTTCAGGTTTCCCCAGTTGAACTCACACGACTCGACCGGCAACAGTTCCTGTGCCTGTACCAGTCACCAAGGATTTTCAAAACGCAGGTCTGAGTGCGGCCTTGACTCCACATTTCCTAACTCCAGAGTGACGCTGTTTGCCCGAGGGCTCTGCTTTCAGAAGAAAAATGATGTGCCAATGACTGCAATCAGCAAGTAACTGCAGATCAGAGTCACCCGACTGGTGATAGGGATTGAGCTCCCTGAAGCATGCCCAGCACACTGTTCCGCTGATGGGCTATACCCCCAGCCTGTGTGCTTCTGGATGGTTTTTTTTCCAAGCTATATTTTTCCACCTTGCATTTCTTTTATCTTTTAAAAATATTTTATTTGATATTTATACACACATTACTTGTTTGGATGAAATCCATTCTCAACTCCTTTTCCTCCAATTCCTCCTCTCCTATAGTCCCACTAGCTTTTTCCTCCCAACTTCATGTATACATATTCTCTCTCCCTCTCTCTCTCTCTCTCTCTCTCTCTCTCTCTCTCTCTCTCTCTCTCTCTCTCTCTCTCTCCCCGCCCCAAAAGGTGTGGCCATTACTGCAAGTTCACGGGCAAAGCAGTAATATATAAATATATATGCATGCCAAGTACACATGGTGCTACCCATATGTGCATTGGTGTAGGACTGTGTACTGGAGCATGGTTAGATGGTTAACATCATCTTAGCATCCTGAAGAGAATTGACTCCCTCCCCCAGCAGGTATCAAGTGTGAACGGTGCCTGGACTAGGGATGGGACCTCATAGGCTCCCCCACATGTTGTTTCTGAAGCAGGGTCTTGTTGGGTATCCACACTGGCCCAGGACTCAGTATGACCACCTTGACTCAAACCTCTTGAGTACTAAGGTTTATACAACTGTGTCACTAGGCTAAGACAGACAAATTCAATTAATTAACATAAGAACTACGTTCGTTAGGTGTGCCTCAGTGGCTTGGGAATCACTGTCCCGAACTTGGTCCTCCCCACATAGCCTCACCCACCTTTTTCCACTGGGCGTTTTCTTTGTTAAAGGTGTACAAACAAAAAGTCAGCTTCTTAGCACCAGGGACCACAGAGGGTGGCTGGGTGCCCAGAACTCGGGGGCTGAGGGGCTATCACGGATGATAGGTAATCTGGGAGACCTGCCAAAGGGGGGCAGTGACAAGAGCAGCACCCCCCCACCTCCCCGCACCAGAAGGAATAAGCCCTGACAGAGGCCTCCTGAAAAGACATCCGGTTTTAAAAGTGGGAAAGAAATGCCTCTATTTGACAAATCTCAGAGGACACAGAAACCAGACCCATCCTGCCCTCCAGCCTGAGGCGGTACCCCCAACACGCCTGCCCGGTTGCAGATGAGGAGAATTCCCCAGGAGGGTGACTTCTGGTCATTCTTGCTCAACCTATGAGCTGCTGCAAAGTGTTCCAACTTGCTCCCTCCTTCCAGCTTTTCCAGAGGGACTGGAGGGAAAGGTGGAAATGAGAGCCAAATACCCTGTTGTGCCTGGAACAGATTTTTCTGCCCACTTCAGAGCAGGGTCAAGTGAAAGGCACAACTGAGGGTTCTGGGGGGCGGGGGAGGGGCGCGGGGAGAGGGCTGCCTCTCTGCAAGACACAAAGCCTGGGGAACAACCCTGCCTTTGCTTCATTGACAAAGGAGAATGAGGGACCAGAGCCAGGCTGGTTTGGACTGCCCGAGAAAAGCGACTTTTGTAATTCATAGCCCCAGGGCATACAATGGAGACTCTGGCAAAGCAGCTAAGCAGGCAGGCACTCTCCAGGAAGCAAGAACGTCAACTGTGAGATGGTTAGAGGCTCTGCGGTTGTGGACAGGTTGCCCAGAGCCTCAGGGACTTCCAGGATGTGGTAGGAGTAAGAAGAGAGCCCTTTAACCCTTGGGGTCCCAGTGTCCTTAGTATACCGGTACACCTGAATCTTGCTTTCTGGCAGTGGAGGCAATGTGGGCTTCAACAACTTCTTGGATTGGTTGTGGCCAGGCTAGCCATGACTTGGTATCAGAGGATGTCCAGAAGACGTCAAGGGCTTCCAGGACATTGCTGTTGACCGAGGAGAGACACAAAGCCTAAGTCAGTTGGTAGACAGGATTTAGGTGCTCACTGCTCGGCACAACTGATCCTTGGCTCCCATTGCCCTTTAATTGATATAGAATATTGAAGATCTGCCCCCAACAGATGCTGTGAGAACTTCAAAGTAAAAGTGACATCTATCTTGTTGGCTGATAACAGGTTTCTTATCAGCATTAGTAGGTGTGTCTCTTATATCCAAGTCATCAGAGAAAGGCGTTAACTAACTACCTAGTACCAATCCGCTGTGGTCATTGTGTTAAATTAGGTGGCAGAATACAGCTGTGCAGTGTGGACAATAGAGGAACACAGAACGAGTCCTGAGAAAGATGCCATGTAGCTACCGGAAGCCAAGACCATGAGGAGATACACAGATGAATAGAAATGGGTTAATTATTAAGAGAGAGCTAAACAGTAAGAAGCCTGAGTCATTGGCCAACAGTTTATACTTTATATAAGCCTCTGTGTGTTTATTTGGGACTAAAGGACTGCAGACAGGATGGAACAGAAACATCTGTACACAGTGTAGACGCGGAGAGCTCTCAGGGTCCATGGGTTAGCTGCTTGTATATGGGTAGGATATGGACAAGCAGAGGAAAATGGGAATGGGTAATACAATCAGAGACTGGGGTGAGCATGGTGGGATTAGTTTTGCAGTTCAGCACCTTGGGTATAGCTTGCAGTCGGACACCATGGTGCTTAGTTGGTGGGGGGGCACTGGCCACAGGGTCTTGAGGCTCATCCTAGGTCCTCTGAGGTTAGAAAGATCTTCCATCGGGGTTCCAAGCATTCTTTAGTCTATTTTCAGTTCTCACTCACTGAACCCCCATTGGAATGGCACTATCAAAAGCAGGAACCACTCCTCCAAGGTACTAAAACTCTGATGTTGAGAAAAACCTGCGCTCTACCCTTGTGAGGAACATGGGAACTGCTCATGTCTATGAGAAACGTGTGATTTGGGTCTCTTAGGAAAGAATGCAGGAGATGGCGCAGAAAGACTTTGACTTTGCTGGAAGACTGAGATCGTCTCTGAAATGAAAGAGTTCAGGGTCTTGCTGAAAGGCAAGAGTGTTTGCTCTCGCCTCCTCTGCTGCTCTTTATGCAGGGGTCCTCATGAACGCAACAGGCAAGGAAGCCCCTAAAGATGTGCAAATCAGAAGGGGAAAAGTAAGACTCTGTCCCCACACACCATGGCTTTACCTAGAGAAAAGCCTAAGGAGTCTACAAAAATCTACCAGAACCAGTAAGCAAGCTTAGAAGGGCACGGAGAACTCCATTAATAAACAATGGCATGCCTTTAGTCACAGTACTGGGGAGGCAGAGGCAAGCGAATCTCTGTCAGTTCGAGGCCAGCCTGGGCTACATAGCAAGTTCCAAGGACAGCTGGGGGCTACGAGAGAGAGAGAGAGAGAGAGAGAGAGAGAGAGAGAGAGAGAGAGAGAGAGAGAGAGAAAGAGAGACCCGGTCTCAACAAAACTATAATGGTAATGAACAGGAAAATGAAATCAAGAAAGAAATTCCATAGCTGGACGTTGGTGGCACACACCTTTAATCCCAGCATTGGGGAGGCAGAGGCAGGCAGATCTCTGTGAGTTCGTGGCCAGCCTGGTCTACAAGAGCGAGTTCCAGGACAGCCTCCAAAGCCACAGAGAAACCCTGTCTCAAAAAACAAGCAAACAAACAAAAAACCAAACAAACAAAAAAGAAATTCCATTAATAGTAGCATAAAAGGAATAAAGTGGGTTCAATATTTATGTATCTAGCCTGGATGTACTTGCATCACAGGTGCAAAAAGTGCCTGCAGAGGCCAGAAGAGAGCGTCAGATTTCCTAAAACTGGAGTTGCAGATGGTTATGAGCCATGTATGTGGATGCTGAGAACTAAACTTAAAATTTCAAAACATTGCTGCAGGAGGGGAAAAAAGGCTTGAACAAATGGAATGAGCCACTGAGTTCATAGATTATAGGATGCAAAAGTGTTAAGGTAGCAACTGTAGCCAGGTCTAGCAGAGCAGGCATGTAATTCCAGGCTGGGGCCAGAAGGCAGTTAAATTCAAATCCAGGCCCTCACCCTGTCTCAGGAAACAAAGTAGCAACACAAAGTGAAAAGAGGCTAAAGACACAGCTTAGTGGCAGGGCACGTGCCTGGCTCTAGGCTCAGTCCTCAGCAGCCCAAATGCTGACTATTCCTAATTTCTGACTCTAATTTGTAACAACCCTCAGAAGGAGTCTGCTTGCTTGTTTGGATAAGCTGGTCCTTTATGTGGAAGGAACTAACAGAAAAAAATATGATCAAAGGTTTGGAAGATTTTTAATAATGTTGCAGCAGTCAGGAAGGTGTGGTGTTAGCCTAATGACAGAAACATAGATAAATGAAACGGAGCAGACTCCAGACACATTCACCATTGATTGACTTGACAGCAATACTTAGACAAATCTCTTTTAGCCTACTTTAGAATATAGCCTTATATTTTAAAAAATGGTATTTTCAGTAAAGGATGCTAGGGTAACTGGATGCCAATATAAAAATACACAAATAACATTTTTTCACCTCATATAAAGGTAATGCAAGAATTAAAAGTGAATCATAGCTCTAAATGTATGACCTAAAACCACAAAAACCTAGAAGAAAACACAGAAGAATGTGTTTGTGAATCTTTGCCTAAAAATTTCTTAAGCATGAGACCCCCAAACCATGGTCTTTTAAAGAAAAATATTGATAAATTCAATGTCATCGAAATTAAAAGCTTTGCTTTTTCAGAAAGAGACCACTGAGGAAAAAGAGAAGGTGAGCCAAACTTCTGAGAAAGTACGTGAAGATCATAGAGCTGGTAAGAGACTTATAACTACAGTATATACAGAATTCTAACATGAAAAATGAAACCAAAACATTTTCGGGAAAATGAATGTAGCCAAAGATCATCGTTAGATGAGAAAACAAGACTCAGAAAAACAAATACTGGATGTTTTCTCTCCATAGGAGAAACTAGATTTTAAAGTGTGTGTGTGTGTGTGTGTGTGTGTGTGTGTGTGTGTGTGTGTGTGTGCATGTATATAAAATTGGAAGTCTAACCAGGTATTATTGCCACACACCTTTAATCCCAGCACTCGGGAGGCAGAGGCAGGCAGATCTCCGTGAGTTCGAGACTGGACTGGTCTACAGAGCGAGTTCCAGGACAGGCTCCAAAACAATACAGAGAAACCCTGTCTCGAAACTCCTCCACCGCCCACCTCCCCAAAAAACCTAATAATTCAACTGGAGAAATCGATAAAAACAAAGACCAGCAGGATTTGAATGGCTATTGCAGCAAAGCATATCTGAAAAGATAATCAGCATCATTATTTACCAAGGAAATACAAATTAATACCACTACCATCCACCACTAGAATC